TCGTCGCGGCGTGAAGTCTTCGTTAGAACCCTAGTGCTACAACAAAGGAAGACGTTAATTGAAACAAAAAATTGGCACATTAAAAAAATGCTTAAAACGGCATTATTCGACTGTGCGATCAATGAAAAATGTTGCAGTGTTGACGGAGGAGGGGGCATTTGCCCTCTTTTTTTACAGCTCAAGAGTCCCCACCCCCGGCTGGGCGCAGCTGCAATTGACTGATGCATTAGAGGCTGATGTTGTTTGTCACAAATCTACCGTGAAACAGCTTTACTTCTCCAAACAGTAAAACGCTGTGTGTGCCCGCCTAACAGCATGTTTCAGTGTAGCCAGGAGCCGATTTCTAATGAAGATGTAGCAGGCAATTCAAGCTCTGAGCTTTCTAGCAGATGGCGGGCAATGAAAGAAAGGTATCCCATCACGCTTTGCAATGAACTGTACGAGGATTTCCGGAGTTAAATCGAACCTGAAGCCCGACAATTTACGGGCACCTCTGCCGTGGTTTTTTTTCTGTTACCAAACTAAGCCGTCTTTGATCTGCTTTTCAAAAATACATTATTGTCAAAAAATAAAAAAAATGTACAATCATTTACAAAAAAAATTTCGAAGGAGAAGAGAAAGTCGAGTGAAAACCAGCCGGAAAACCGAACCCTTACGGGCCTTCTCGGGTAAGGTCCACCCCGTGATAGCCACCGAAAGCACTCGCAAGGGTAGCCAAAATGGCGGAGGCTTCAGAAGGGTCCATCGATTTGGCCTCATTGTTGAGGGCAAATAAGGTGGAGGCACTTCATACAACTGCCCTCTGTGGGCCTGTTAAATTTCTTGTATGGACAAGACTTTCCGAGGAAGGTTCCTTCTGGATTATTAAGTAAGTGGTTCTTTCTCCAACAACGAAAAATGTTTTTAAACGACACAGTGCGGATTTTGGATCATGGTTTGTGTCTTCATTTTCTCCTCCTCTCTCCCTTGTTTACAACAAAACGCTTGATGTCTGCGCTTGCCAAAGTGTTAGGTTCGCGGTGGGATAGGTTTTGGAAAATACGATGTAGAAACATAGTCTGTCGACACGTTTTCACGACCTCAGCCGGTATTAAAACAGAATAGAAAACATGGCACGGCTGTCACAAAATTAGTTAGAAAATTCTTAATCCTGACGATCCCTCAGAAGATTCTAGCCTGTGGAACTAGACAGTGGCAAAATCTCTGTTTAAAGGATTCGTGACATTTATGTGGGCTTCTTTAGGAGGTTCGTCTGAAACACATGTATATGTCCAATAGATAGAATAATAATGGGATTAAGCCTTTATACATGTGTTAAGCTAGGTTTTCACCAACGATGCGAGCATATTGTGGCACAGACGCGAAGGAAAAGGGTACTTATGGCCTAGGGAGTGTACTATCTTCTATTTCCTCTTCAGAAAAGTACCGCTGTGTCCTGAACAGGGTATATAATTTGGAATCTTAAAATTAAAACAGTAAGCTGATCCTTACAGTAGGAGGGGTTTTGGAAAAAATGAAGAAAGGAAACAAAAAATGAAAGTAGTGGAAAAAGTATTGCCTTATCTTAGCTTATTGTGTAGCAAAGAATTAAAATAAGCTTATTTTTGTTGTAATTTGTGTTCCTGTGTCATTTTGAAGCAGTTTGTGCTGGTTTTGCTATCCTGTAAAGAGCCCAAATCGCTCTGCCCTCCCCCTCCCCCGTGGATTGCACATCTCATGTTGCATGTTCCATAAGCATTTCCTTGTTTATTTGCTCCCTTAGGCTTCATGAAGCATCATACATTAACATGGCAAAACACTTTATTACATGTATTTTGTTTGGATTATTAGTGCATCTGATGGTGTTGATGTGTGGCACTTACAACTGGACAAAACACAACTTGATTCTCATGTAAGATAACGAAATATTCTTTAATCTGTCAACTTTTCTTGCATATAACCTGTGTGTCAAGTGTATTGTTGCTGTTATTTAGTTTCTGAATTTTTTTCCAAATGCATATCTTGCAGAGAGAACTGGCCGAAGTTGATGGATATGACACATATTTTGCAAGATTCAGGTGAGCATGACACAATTTTGTTTTTGGTAATGTAAGCTGAATTCTAGTGAGTCACATTTCTGGAAACCATACCGATGAAAAAAATTATGTCTTTCCAAATTAACATTAATTTTTTTTCAATTAAATTTCCCTTATTCTGTTCCCAGATGCTTTCAAAATCCCTTAAAGTGTTTGGTTTCCCAAGGCCAACTAACCTATTTTTTGGAAAGTCTAAAGGAAAGAATTATGACCCTTTAGTGATCCAAGAGCATGACATTTTTTCCTCCATGAAAACCACCAATGATTTTTCTTTTAAAGGTGCATTACAGATAACTGATAATTTATTGATTTTATTTGTTAAGTTGGATTTCATAATAATAATAATAATAGTCTTTATTCAATCAAAGGATAAAAATACATATCCTAAGTTACAGTGAAAATGTATTAAAAGATACACGATAAAATACAATAGTAATACAAGATAGAATAATACTATACTAAATTACATTTAAAAATAAGTCCATTTAATTAGAGTGGTTGAACAGAATACAGACATCATAGAATTTTGACTATTTTATTCAGTGACAGCACATGAATACTCTATGACTATTATTTATTTATTTCTTCTTGCCAATAGCTGTGAACCACTGGTTGTTTCAGTATCTGTTTTAATTCATGTTATTTATACAAATTGGGGTACATGTAATTTCCAAAGAAAAGTAGGTGGCGAGTTCATGTGAAATAGCCGGAGGCTGCCAGCTCTTATTGAAAACCCTAAGTACAAGGTCATTTGTTGCTGTCTTGAAACACATTTACCGAATTATTAGAAGTTAAGGGTAGGTGAGGATACTCAAGAAAACTAATATAATTCAACAGGTCAGAATTCGAGAGTGGCAGCATATCTGTAGCACAGATAGCAAATAAAATTGCCATAACAGTTGGTACAGGAATTCCATCTCTGTGTTATGACCTCTATGAAGCTAAAGCAAGTGAAAGGAAAACAGAACTGCAGACAATTCTTTTCAGACTGGCTGACAGAGTATCACAACTTACTGAGCAGTTGAAAGGTAGTTATAACAATGTGGTGAAAATGTTGTAATTATAATAAAGGCCCAGTGCAAACATCAAACTTTTCATGTACCAAACCTAATCCCTTCAATTAAGTGCATGAAAAGATACATGTTTGAACCAATAAGTCAGACATCTCTAATTTGAGTCTACCCATGAATTTAAAAGTTTGAGTGGCCCACATGGGAGTTTTGACTGTGGAGCAACTTCATTTCAAACGTCAAACTCTTCATGTGCCAAACCTAATGCATAAATTACTAAAATTTTATTCTACTAGTAAGCATTGTATACCATTGGACATTGTGAAAGTGAATTACGTCCGACTAATGTAGTTTGATGTATGAATCAACCATCGAACTTGTGTCATTCATGATAACTATTAAGTTTGTACATGAAAAGTTTAATATTTGAACTGGGTCTAAACCGGAATTTTCTTTGTTGCCTATGAATGATAATGGCTTGGACACAGAGGAAATTCTGAAAAGTACATTATTCTTATATGTTTATTTTAACTTACTGGTATATGCATCATTCGCTTCATTTTCAAGGTGCAATTAAGATAGTCAGTTTTACAGCTTGCCATTCGAGCAAGCTGTATATAGCATTTACATAATAGCGGAAGAGTCATTTTAACTAGTGCAAAACAAAGTAATTGATGAGCAGTATAATTTCTGTATTATTGGAATTCTCCCAAAAATACTTCACTTGCCAGTCAGGCAAGTTAAGAACAGAATTCACTAGCCTGATAGCAAAGTTCACTAGCCCTGGACTATCAGACACAACTTTCTTTGCACACTGATTTTAGAGTAAAAATTCTGTAGAGTGTTAATTTCACCTGCTCACAACGTTAGTGAGGCTCATAAAGTTACAAATATAAAAGAATGATTATTTTTATGAATTAAAGATTTTTATTGTTAATTCTTCTACAGTGTCATCAGATTCATTGGAGAGATTGAAAAATCAAAAGGTGCATCATTGATAATATTTTAATTGAGTCTAATTATTATTATTATTGTAAGTTAATTAATTAATTAATTAATTAACTTACAATAGAACAGTGGAAAATTCATTGATTAATTAAAACTTGTTTGATTAATTAATTGGAAAATTGATTAATTGGAAAATTAATTGATTAATTAATTTTATTAAGTAATTAATTTAATTAATTAATCAATCAAACAATTTCCCACTGTTACTTGAAAGACATACATGGTTTGTTCAATCTTGAAATGGTCTTGAACAATATTTTATTTCTGTTTTGTTAATTCAAATGCTATTTCATTACCTTAGATGCAATTGCAAGTCATACCCAGTCATTTTGCGAAGTTTTGTTGCAGAAAGTAGTATTAAATAATATGATCAATGATGGCCGAAGAAGTAAAAATCGTAAATTACTCCATGACGTGTTTCAGCCCATAGAGTGATCAAAGGGAGTTGAAGAATGCCAATTTATTAAATAAATCTTAGTCCTTGTAAACTGTAATTTGTCCTTGAAAAATTCTTGAAAAGTCCTTAAAATTTGTTTGTCTGAAGTTGTGCGAACCATGGACATGGTGATTTTGATGAAAAACCAAATTGGAACAAAGCTCTTAGTAGTAAGTGTCACGTACCATATTTGTTGTGGCTTAATTTATTGTATTAAACTGGGTTTCTACCACAAAGAAACATTTTAGTGATGCTAAAACTAATCTGAAATCTTTCTAACACAGGAAAGGTGCAAACCATAAATGCATGTACATAGTAAAAAAAACAGTGATAAAATATTCATAGCTCTAACATCCTGCTCCTGGCTTTTTTCTTGTAAGGATGGAGCTGCAGCTGGTTCCTCAGTCTTTGGTGAGTATTCAAACAATAAATTAAAATGTTAAATAGAAATATCATAGACTGTCAGTCATA